AAAAATTTTTGGGGGAAATTTTACAACCAACGGTTGGGTTTAAGGATTTTTATGAAGCTATACGTAACAACCCCTCACTATCGAATGCAAAAAAAAATGCAATTTTTTTAAAGGGAAAAACTGCGAGGTGGGGGGGGGCCCGAGAGATCATACGGCATTTGCCTATCATTAATTTGTGGAGATTTCTTTAACAGATCCCCAAAAACATAAAAAATAATCTTCATTTTCTTACTTAAAGTTTTGGAACAACCAGCCCCCCCCCCCCCAAAAAAAAAAAAACCCCCCCCCCCCCCCCCCCCCCCAAAAACCTAATTAGACATAAAATTGTGCCCGACCGGGGTTCCTTACTATACTAAAGTAATACTGAAACTTCACAGTTACCAACCCTAAAAGAATTTTCAGTATCTAGAAAACAATTTCACGCATTAGAGTCTTCCTCCGCAAGAAAGAAGTCGGAAATCAAATGTAGGGGACTTATTTATATTCTTTTTTAATTGTTAATGTTTTATATGTACTTTTTTTAATTTTGGTAAACTTTTTTGTTTTTGTAACTTTTTTTTTTTTTTTTAGAAAAGAAAACTCCCGCATTAGGAATATCCCCTGGTCGGGGGGGACTTTCAAACATAATAAAAGGACAAAAAAACCCCCCGCCCCAAAACAAAAATTTGTGGATCACACAAAGTATCGCCCCATGTGGGGTTTGAACCCAAAAACAGGGCGCTTGGGAAGCGGGGGCGACCGCTTAAACCCACTACGCCCCGTGCAGCCCTTTTTAGTTTATACTCGAAATACTTTTTAAATTTTAAATTTATTTCATTTTGTTAATGTTGTTATTACATATATCTATTTTCATACTTCGAACAATTTTGTTATATTTTTAAATTATATATTTGTCGGAAAAAACCGACGGGGGTTAAATTTATTGTTTATATCTATCGCATCGGGCTAGTCACAGCGGCGGCGGGGGCCCACGACCGAGCGAGGAAAAAAATTCCTTTCCTTCGGCTCCCGCCGCTACCCGTCTGAATTGCCTCGATCCTTAGTACCCCCCCTTCCGAAAATTTTTATCTTTCGTACTTTTTTTATAAACTATTTTTTCTCCCCTTTCTTTCCTTTTGATATGTGTCTTTTTAAAGTGTTTTTAGTAGACTTTTACGTTAAATCGTGTAGTGAAAATATACGGAATTTCTTTGACTTACAAAACGTACAAAAACGTACCAAGCAACACTTTTAGCAAAGCCGAATTGGAGTTTTTTGGGAAAATTTAAATTAGCCGATCCCGAATTTTTGTATTGTATGGTACAAAAGAGCTCCTTTTTTGGCTATGTTAACCTAAAGGGTTGGCGAGGGTGAAAGGACACGTCCCCAAGCGCTGTCCCTGGGAAGGGTTCTTTTCATGGGTGATATTTTGCACGGCATCAGACTCATGATTTGATTAACTTGTTACGGACGTGAGTTTAACCTACGCAAGCATTGATATAAAACTTACATAGATGAGTAATTACCGCCTAAAAAACGTTGTATTGACATCTGTCCAAGGGAATCTAGCAAACGTAAAACAGGTTCAATGTGGCGTCAACGAGCGCCCTGGACACAGACAGTAACAATCGCCAAAATGGGTAAATGCGTAGTGAAAGAATGCGATAAAGGGCAAAAACCAAAAAATCAGCGGAATTTCTTATCCCTGGGAAATTTTGGTTTTTTTTATTGATAATATCCCCTAAATAAGGCTATAATTTTAAAAAACATTGAAATTTTAATTTTAATCAGTGTTACCACTAAAAAACATTTTGTTTTCCACTTAGTGGGAGAATTTATTTAAATTTTTAAATAATATGCTTTATACTGTTTTTTAAACATTTTGTCAATAATAATAAATATAGGAAGAACGGTAGTTGTTAGGGCTGGATCGATTCACTTTTTTTAGGGACCCATTGAACGTTCACCTTCTGCCAAGCTCGCAGTGCTGGAGACTTTTGTATAAAAGAATTAATTAATTAATTCATTCATTTTTCTTAATTAATTATCAAATATAAATAATAATTGTAACAAAAAAATATATATATATATAAAATAAAAAAAGTAATAAATATAATAAAAAAATATAAAAAACATATAATATATATTATATATATTTGTTATATATTTTTTTTATTTGTATTTTAAAATATTAAAAGAATATGCAATACACCCTGGGGATTATTTATTATCAGTACAAGTTGATCATTCCACTTTTACTATTAAATGCCATTATTTATACATAGGTAAAAATAAGATTGTATCATGAAAGTAAAATATTCACACAAACTTATAAAAAAGAGTCTAAAAGACAATTGTATACAAAACTGATGCTTCATAGCGGAGTTTGATTTTACACTGAATATAAACCCTTTTAACCAAATATTTCTAGTTATTTTATTATTTATACCTATTCCATTCAATTCGAAATGTATTATTTAAAATATTTAAATTAATTTATTTTATTACAAAATGTGTTTAAAAAAAAAATTGTTTCTTGGTTGTTATGGGTAAAATTTCATACGGTAGTCAACACTGGCCCACCATCGTAAAGTTATGTCTTTGTCTAATCCGAGCGATGGTATTGTTCTTGTCTCGCGTGTAAATGAGACATAAATATGTTTACTTTCAAATGTTTAGTGGTATCAAAGCTACGTCGTCAAAGTTCAAAAGTGGTTACACTTTTTTTCGACGTCGTGGATAATGAGGTTTGCTTCTCTAGTGTTGTTTTTAACTCAATGACGCAAGTGGTCATCGAACGTCCCGGAATTAGTACAAGGCGGTCAACAATAAAATGACAGTTTTGAATTCAAAACGGAAACAAAGTCAAAAGGCGCTCGGCCTTCGATGGAACCCTGTCGACATGTCTTTTCTTTTCAAACAAAAGTCAATAGCACACAGTCACTAAAAACAACAAAGCGAGAACAATTATCAGAAATCTCCAAATTATTCGACCGACTGATTGGCTTTCTCCTTTTACTATGAAGCTTATAAAATCAAAATCAAAGCAGACATAGGAACAACAACATTAAATATCAAGATGGATGAACACAACCCGCAGCAAGAGATCGAATTACATGGCTTTTGTGACGCGTCAAGTAAAGCTTACGCGTGGGCAATTTATTGCAAAACTAATTATGAACAAACACAAATTATTTTAGTGGTAGCAAAAACTTACATTATTTCAAAAAGAAGAGAATTACACTGCCGAAATCAAACGAGCGAAAATTTGTATTTACAAACATTCGCAACGAATGGAATTCGGAGAAGAAGTATGCAGCTTATCTGAGGGTATCAGGATCAGGATCTAAAAGCAAGATTCTCAATTTCATTCCCTTTTAGATTGATCAAGGGCTGCTCCGAGCAGGCGGGAGATTGCGAAATTCAAACCTACATCCCGAAATGAAAAAATCCGATCATCCTTCCGCATGTCGTCGTACAGCAGTCGTACAACAGTCCGTATAACAGAGCTTATGATTGACTACGCACATCAGTTAACCTTCCATGGAGGAGCGCGTCTCACTATATCATTTTTTACGCAAGAGATACTGGATCATTGAAGGCGTACAAACAGTCAAAAAACGCAAAAACATAACCTCAATATGATCAACCAACTAATGGGGGATCTCCCCGAATGAGGATGCAACCCTTCCATCATACCGGGGTGGATTACACTGGGTACATCGATATCAAACCAAAGAAAGGTTACGTGACTTTTTGTATGTATGGCGACAAAAGCTGTCGTCATTACGTCGGATCGCTGCCAGAAGAGGCATTCCGGGACACATATACAGCGATAACGGCACAACTTTACAGGTGGGTATCATGTGCTGCAACAGCAGTTCCAAGAACTACAGGAGCGGGCTATCCCTGCTATCACGGATATGGAGATACAATGGCTTTTACAATGATCCTGGCCATCTGCAGGGGGGCTTTGGGATTTGGAGCTGTAAGCATCATATGCGCAGGGTAATCGTCGAGCGTTGGCACCAGGGACTTCCTTTCTAGACGGCGTGCGGTTTTAGTCGGTTCGAGTCTGACATGCCACCGATAGGTGGTGTCCTAGGGGATTTCCGCACGAAAAAAAAAGGTAATCGTCGAGCAAAAGTTGACGTACGAAGAATTAATTACAATCTTATCCCAGATAGAAGCATGCTTAAACTCCAGGCTTCTTCGCCCATGACCGAGGACCCTGAGGATCTCGATGCGTTAACTCCATCACATTGATGATGATGTACACATTTGATTAGTATATTATATTCAATAATTAAGTACAATAAAAGCATTCAACTTTACACGTTGTCTCAATATACTCATAGCAACAAGCATTTTATCATTAAATGCAGAGACACATCTCTACACGTCCTATATCGATCGAGTAAGAAAAGGAACTAAATGAAAACTCGGCGATGTTCGCAAGTCGTTACGTCTGTTTATTTATAGAGGAAGGTGGCGCGGGGCGGTCAGACGCTGGGCAGGTGGCGCGGGCAGATGACGAAGGGCGGTCAGACGCTGGGCCGGTGGCGCGGGGCGGTCAGACGCTGGGCAGGCAGGCGGCGATGGCGCTGGCGCAGCGCCTGGCGCAGGTCGGCGCCGCCCTGCGCAGGCGGCGT